AGGGCTGCGTGCGCGGCTGGGCGGTGGTGGAGCCGTGCAAGGGTTTTGGCTGGAAGCGGTGGGTGAGATGACGGGAGTGGGGCCGTGTTCCCACGCGTCCTGCGGGCACATCCCGGGGGGGCGGCCCCAGCGCTTGGCTGGGCAGCTGCTCCAGCACCTGACAGTGCTCTAAGTCAAGTATTTTTCCCTGATATCCAACCTAAGCCTCCCGTGGCACAACTTGAGGCTGTTTTTCCTCACCGTATCACTTGTTGTTTTTGGGAGATGAGGTTGATCCCCACCTTGCTACAACCTCCTTTCAGGCAGTTGTAGAGAGCAGTGAGGTCTCCCCTCAGCCCTCCCTTCTCCAGACTAAACTACTGCAGTTCCCTCAGCCGCTCCTCATCAGATCTGTTCTCCAGACCCCTGCCCTCCTTTGGACACCCTCCAGCACGTCCGTGTCCTTGTAGTGAGGGGCCCAAACTGAACGCAGAATTCAAGGTGTGGCTTCACCTGTGCCAAGTACGGGGGGACAATCACGTCTCTAGTCCTCTGTCCACAGTGTTTCTGATACAAGTCTCCCAATAACCTCCTAGCTCTGTCTGTCTGCACTCCAGGAGCCCCAAGAGCCTTGTGCAGATCTTGGGCGCCTGGTGGGCCTCTCCCCCTTGGGGTTTTTAAGGGGAGAACTTCCCTGGAGACCTGAGTTCATCAAGCAGTTTGTCCAAGCTGTAAGAGATTCCTTCTGGCCCTACCTCTTGCTGATGCCACGGGATGATTAAGTTTCAACATTTAAGTCAAGAATCTCATTGTTATGGTAGAAAGGTTTAGACTGATGGGTATAAAGTCCTCTGCAGCTCCAGGGATGTGGACTGCTGGGAAGAAGAAGAAAAGCAGAACTGAGGACTGGACATTGAGTGCCATCGACGTGATGTGTAGGACCTCCTCCTTGCAAAATGGTTTCTAAGAATACAGTCTTCAAAAGTACCCCAAATTAGTGTCCGGGTCAGCTCAGTCATACGTGGCCAGCCTTCAGGAGACAGGCTCATTAATCCAGTGCTGGATGTAACAGCCATGCTGATAGGCAGCCAAATTAACGCAGGCTGCTTAATTAAGAAGGCCCTGGCTAAGCAGATACTATCCTAACATGAATCCAGACCAGTGAATTGATGTTTCTTACCTCGGCTGAGTGTGGGAAAGCCTGTCCCCTCTCCAGGGGGTCTGTGTATTCAGAGCTGAACACTCGGCCTCCCTCTGCCCTAGCCTGGATCCAGCCTGGTGGTCCTAGATTCCGGGAGGAGGTGCTGGGGCAGCTTGTGAGCAGGAAGGAGCCACATTTATGGTGTGTTTTTTAGCCATAGCACGGACACTGAGTGATTAGCTGTGGAGAACAGGCCTCCAAAAAAGTGTCTCTCACTGAAACTGACGGTAAGAGAGAGATGTAACAGAAAAAATAAAGGAGAAATGGGG